AATTTAATTGAAAAATTGCCTTTTCTACCAATTATTGAATATTATAGATAGAAAATTTCTATTTCAATACATATAAATCTTCTTATATATAAAAATGATTATATATATTATAAAAACGATATATTACAAAAATGACGATTTTTAGTCTTGTTCCTCGATATACATTCTTTGTAAGTGTAGATACTAATAAATATTTTAAAATTCGAAATTTGCAATCACAAAAACGCAGTTTTGTTAAAAGAAAAATTAATGCATAAGAAAACTTTTTCATATTTTCGCTGCTCTTTTCATTACAACAATTTATTACAATTTACGTAGTTGCGTGTAATTGTAAACATTTATAAATATGTCTGTGTACAATAATTTAATATATTTATGTATATATTCTCATCGGTAAGAAAATAGAGAGAATTATTTATATTTAACAGATTGAAGCAAAAGCAATTAAGCCTTGAACGTAATGTAAAACTTTATGACATATATATATATATATATATAGTTTCACACATAGCTAATTCTTTAGTTAAATTAAGATATCCAAAACCTAACCTATCCTCATAACTTAATTCTATATCAAAGGTACAAAATAAGATTGCACTTGTGTGATCATATCAATATCGTTAGTGATGTCAGATCTACCTCATTTTGGTCGACCAAGTATTATATTGAATACTTAATACCTCGTGAAAATCAATATACAGCCCATTTCTGTTGAACAGTAGCATGCATCTCTTCTTAGATTAGTTTACCTGCCACTGAAATATGATATATAATTCTTATCCAAATATATAATCAAATAATTTAATACAGCAGCAAGAACACAACTGCGCTTTGTGTTTTTACCTTTAACGTAGGTTGTGTACTGCTAGCAGCAGCTTCTTGTTCCCGTTTCTCAAGTTCCAATGCTCGTCGCTGTTGTCTTTTAACAGAATCTATATCTTTTATACCCCTTTGCTGCTGCTCAGCAATTCTTTTCTCAGCAGCTTCCGCTTGTCTCCTGCGTATAGTCTCCTAAATAAATAAATGTGATCTATATAAAGTAACATATTAAGTAAGAGTTGTAAATAGCACATAATTTTATATTTTTTATTATTATTTATCTATCGCATCAAATATAGGAGATTAAAAGAACTAAACTTTTGGAGCTCAAGGAAATGATACAAACGATTATTTCGAAGAAAAAAGTTGATCGAATAATAGTATAACGATATGAAAACATCATGTAGCTAAAATATTAATATTTTATGTACGTATTTTTATAAATTTTCAGAAGATGTACCCGGTCGGGCGTGAGATCTTCGTACGACGATGATCCTTTGTAACATAATCCACAACAGTTGCCCATGTTGATACGTTGCGTGAGCAAAACAAATGTTATAATCACTCGGAGTTCGCGGAAAGATTGCTGTTAAATTAAATTAACAGTAGACAAAATATACATGACAGATCCAAAGCAATGGTTGGTAGCTGCTCGGATCGTCGGATCAGCTGTCACCTGTCGTATATACATGTACGGTGATACGCATGCGCAATATTGAGATTGAGCAGTTTTGCACCTATGAATGAATTACGTTCGATCGACTCATCAATAAAGATTATTCATAATAATATAAAAATAAATTCTGTCTATTTGTTATGTGCATTCTTTTTAAGGCTCAAATTCCGAATAGTCCCTATCTCCGAATTTGCTGAAATATTACAGGAATGTAGCACATATACTAAATGTATTAATCGAATGCTATGATACAAATGCCAATGTGCGGAAACGTCCAGTTTCCGAGATATTCAAATTTTAATTATGTGGCTAAATGCACAATTTTTAAGGATTCCATATAAAAAAAGATTAAAATTCAAAAGTATTTCGTTAAAATATTTCATTTTACAAATCAATATTACAATAAACACCAGCGTGTTAACACAATTAACACGATGGTGTTTATAGTCTTGTAACACATTAATAAAATGAAACATTTCAGCAAAATATTTTTAAATTATAATCTTTTTTTTATATGGAGATCTTAAAAATTGTCCATTTAGCCAGATAATTAAAATTTGAATATCTCGGAAACTAGACGTTTCCGCACATTCGTACTTGCGGCATTCGACTGCATTTAATAAGTGCTACATTCCTGTGAAATTTCATCAAATTTAGAGATAGGCACTATTCAGAATTTTTACCCTCAATTTTACATACGTTATAGTAAATCTTTTTTAATATATACAGGGTGACCCGCAATGACCGCTCACTAAGTACATAGCGTTATTCCTTACCAAAAACTGAGACAAAAAGTCCTGAGCCATTTTTTTTTATAACGCTTAATAAAGGAGTTATTATTGAGTAAAGTCTGGTCAATCAGTGCCAACCTTTAGCCGGGCGTACGTCGGTGAGCCGCGTGCCTGCTAGTATGCGGCGGCATACACTCACGGCGCGCGGCTCACCGACGTGCGCCCGGCTAAAGGTTGGCGCTGATTGGCCAGACTTTATTCAATAATAACTTCTTTATTAAGCGTTATATAAAAAAATGGTTTAAAACTTTTCGTTTCAGTTTTTGGTAAGGAATAACGCTATGTACTTAGTGGGCGGTCATTGCGGGTCACCCTGTATATAAAACAAAATAAAACAAAATAAATACAAATAAAACGAAATTCTCTCTCTTTCTCTCTCTCTCTTTCTCTTTCTCTCTGCACTCTTATATATATCTTTGATTAGAATATTACATGTACAAAGCACGCGTTACACGCGTGTTTATTTTTACCTGCAAGAGAGAAATTCTTTTCTAAATTTGTACGATTCAAAAAAACCAATTGTGTATTTAAAATAAAACATGCTTTGTATTTTTTATATTTTTACTTGAAATCACAAATGTGTAAAAAAAGTCACAATGTATATCGACTTACTGTTATCCACAAAGATACATATGTCTTCTCTTATTAATGTCGGCGCAGCTGGCGCGAACATTGTGAAACGGCCGACGAGATTGAGAAAATTAATTGTCGTCTTCCAAGAGCGCGCGTTCCATCTCTGGGAAAAGGGACTGCGGATATCGAGCAATGTTACACATTGTTTGTTTGCACGTACGATTAATCAATGTTCCCAGCTGCCCTGGTATTGGCTGGGAATTTCATTCGATCGGTCCATACTTTTCTTTAGGACTTTTCTCCATCTCTCAATATACTTTTTTCATCTGTTGAGCGACAATGCGAAAATGCGTTGCCAAAAATTCCAAAACTCGAACATTTTTAATATATGAGTATTGTTGGCGAACATTGCCGCTACTATGTATAAACAACATCCGGAATGCATTTCTATTATACAAAGTTATTTCATTATTCAAAATCGGAGAAAAATCTTTTTTCTCTGCAAAGAAAGATAGAGCCATTTGCCTAAATACAGATTAAAATGTATATAATATAGAAATGTAAAATAATTATTAATATTACATGTAATAAAATATAATAACAATAAAAGAGAGAGAGAGAGAGAGAGAGAGAGAGAGAGAGAAAGAGAGAGAGAGAGAGTTTTATCAGTAAAATAATGAACTATAAATATTATAAATAATATTTTTAAAATAGATATATTTTGTAATAATATAATAAAATAACAAAATAATATTTTAGATATTATATATAATATTTACTACTTTTATTATTAATAACATTTTTAATAATATGTAAATATTTGTTAAATCAGGATGAGCTAATTTTTTTTGCGCATCGTATACTGTATTAATTAATTACGCACATTATAAAATATATTTTTAATCGTATAATGCACAGATATTAAAAATCTTCGACATAAAAAATGTACACTAATTAAAAAATGAAAAACAAGAATTAAGGGAAATATTTTTTCAGAGTCTGTATCGTTAGCATCGTAACGCGTATTAAATAAACATTGAAAAGTTTTTATACATTTGTACGAAAGTCTAACGACTTTTCTCATCGTAAACCGGTGGAGCACGTGCCTAAGGTTGGATAATAGGAAACAAGAAACAAGAGGGAATAAGAAGATTATGCTCATGGCAATTATAAAACACGCGGCAAACTTTTGCAATATCTCTATCCAACTTTTATTGCTTAATACAGACTGTATTCTGGGAATGTGAGTAACTTTTTAATCTTAGTCCGCTCGTTCTTCTGCTATTCGCGTATATGTTAGTTATTCTAGATGCCATTCGATCTTCATTACGAATACATCTCTCTGTGAGATTTGTTTCGCAGTTTTTGACCAATGATCCTTGTCACCTATTAAAAAAAAAAAATAATATCATGTAAGTAATAAAATGAAATTTTTTCTTTATATAGCTCTTTATTCGCGATAAATCTACAAATAAATATTCAGTATTTATTTTATTCGTATCTATTTTGTAAAAAAATTAGAGTAAAAACTATAGCCACATAACGTAAATCAATCAATAAATAACTGCAAAAATAAATGTATATACATACATATAT